TGAAAGAACAATATTCAATTCTAGTTATTACCTATTTTTACAACTGAAAGAACAATATTCAATTCTAGTTATTACCTATTTTTACAACTGAAAGAACATTATTCAATTCTAGTTATTACCTATGTTTACAGATGAAAGAACAATATTCAATTCTAGTTATTATCCATGTTTACAGATGAAAGAACATTATTCAATTCTAGTTATTTTCCATGTTTACAGATCAAAGAACAATATTCAATTCCAGTTATTACCGATGTTTACAACTGAAATAACATTATTCAATTCTAGTTATTATCCATGTTTACAACAGAAAGATCATTATCAAATTCTAGTTATTATCCATGTTTACAACTGAAAGAACATTATTCAATTCTAGTTATTACCTATGTTTACAGATGAAAGAACAATATTCAATTCCAGTTATTACCGATGTTTACAACAGAAAGAACATTCAATTTTAGTTATTATCCATGTTTACAACAGAAAGATCATTATTAAATTCTAGTTATTATCCATGTTTACAGAAGAAAGAACAATATTCATTTCTAGTTATTACCTATGTTTACAGATGAAAGAACAATATTCAATTCTAGTTATTATCCATATTTACAACAGAAAGATCATTATTCAATTCTAGTTATTATCCATGTTTACAGATGAAAGAACAATATTAAATTCTAGTTATTATCCATGTTTGCAGAAAAAAGAACAATATTCAATTCTTGTTATTATCCATGTTTACAGATCAAAGAACAATATTCAATTCCAGTTATTACCAATGTTTACAACTGAAAGAACATTATTCAATTCTAGTTATTATCCATGTTTACAACAGAAAGATCATTATTCAATTCTAGTTATTATCCATGTTTACAGATGAAAGAACAATATTCAATTCTAGTTATTATCCATGTTTACAGATGAAAAAACAATATTCAATTCTAGTTATTACCTATGTTTACAACTGAAAGAACACTATTCATAAGTTCATAACTGTGTATATTTAATACTTAATAGATCCTCCTGAGACATCTCTTTCCAAATATTAAAGAAATTATTATTATTTATAAAAAATAAGTTATATTAAAAGAAATTGAAATTGCTAACCTGCTGTCGAATACTGGCAGTCTTCAAATCCAACAAGATTTTTTTAATTTCAGAAACCAATTTATCTAGTGAAAGAAATAACTATAAATTAATATGTACTACCATGATATCATAAAACAATATTAAGGTATTTTGTTAAGTAACACCTGGTTGAAACTGTTAACACAAGAACAGCCAAAACTATCAAATTGACAGTTTTCACTATTAAGATTTAAATATCTTTGTGTGTATGAAAGATATGCTGTTGTCCTTTCACAATTTTTCCTAAATCCATGTATTTCAAAGTCAAAATCACAAAAATAGAAATATTATAATAATTTTTACCTGAGAACCACCAGAGACTTATCAATTTGACTGCTGTTCACAATACATGCTTTTATTTATAACAACATAAAATTTGGGTTGTTTCTTTTTTGTGTCAGTTTGAGTAAATCATAACATAGCCTACTTATAATCCTAGCAATTCCTGTGAAATGTGGTGTAGGTTTGTCTGTCGCTTTGCGTATACATAGCAACAGAGAAACTGACAGAGACTCACAAACTCAAAAATGGCTCAAAGAAGACAAATGTGTGCTCAAAAAGTGATACAGATACTCATAACTTTGTTAAAAAATGATTCTGATTTGGGGAAGGTAAGTGATCACAAAAGCAATGAGTCCTGGATTTGTGAAACAGACAGTCCTGCAAGTGAAAGTGAGGAAAGTGCCAATAAAGTGCTACTACTACCAAAACAGCTCTTCAGATGCATAAGAGGTCATAGCAGAAGCAAGAGTCCTGGATAATCCTCTGCAGTGCCAGATGTTTTACCTGTGTCATCTCCTGCAGTAGACGCAAGTGCTCCAGCTGTGCCAGCCAATTTGTTCGGTACAGTGCTAGCCACAACACCTCCAGTTGCTTCACCAGTGCAAGATAGCATACAGGAGATTGGAAATGAGGAAACAATTTGGGAAATTATGAATCTCAATATTGAGGCTGCAGGAAAATGTGCTGCATAAAATATTTTCAGAGAAACTCCAGGTCCCACACAGTAAACAAAACGCAACACTGATAGTCTTCTCAGTGCTTTTCACTTATTGATCGATATATGACTGCTACACCACATCCAGTGATGTACTAAAGCAGAAGGGCATAAGGTGCAAAATGATGATTCCTGGAAAATATCTCTAGAGGGCTTACAAGCAGTTATTGCACTGCTACATGTTTATGGGGCCTATGGTGGAAAAAGTATTTACCAGGAGAGCTTTTGGTTTGTGCAATGGGGGTAATTCCTTTCTTCACAGAGATAATGCCAAGGAGTCAATTTTGAGAAATATTGAGATTTTTATGTTTTGACTTAAGAGCAACAACAAGTGCCCAACTTCAAACTAAAACATTTGACCTGACATCAGGAATTTGGAATGGCGTTATTCAAAAACAGTATTGTCTGCTACAAGCCAGGATAGAACATTACAGTGAATGAGCAGCTGTTTCCCACAAAAGCATAATTTTTCTGGACATAATACATGGCAAACAAAGCAGACAAATTTAGAATAAGGTTTTGGCTGGCAGTAGACATTGTCTCAAAATACATTCTGAATGGTTTCCCCTACTTGAACAAAGATGAAACTCACCCAGCTGGTCAGAGACTGGGACAATGTAGTATTCAGGCTGATGGCACCATACTTATGAAAAGGAAGGAATGTGACTACAGACAATTTTCTTACTCCACATGACTTCACAAAAGAGTCACAGAAAAAAAAAACAGCTAGTTGGAACAGTGAATAAATCAAAAATAGAGCTTCTACCATCTGCACTAAATTTACAACCAGAGCTGTACACCAGTACAATATTGAAACACAGTGACTTTGCTACATTGACTGTTAACAAATTCAAGCTGAGAAAGAATGTGTACATTCTCAATTCTCTTCACATTTCAGTTGGCATTAACACTACTGAGAAGAAAAAAATGAAGACTGCTTTTCTACAACCAGACAAAGTAAAGAGTGAATGTTGCAGACCAGATGGCACATCAGTACTCAGTAAAAGCTAGTTCTTAGAAGTGGCCAGTTGCCTTATTTTACAATGTCCTGGACCTGGCAGCCATCAATCTCTTTGTTTTGTTCAAGGAATGCACTGGAGAAAATATATGTAGGAGGGTTTTAATCGTGATGCTAGTCTCATAACTCCAACAAAAACGAAAGTTTGAGAAAAGTGCAAAGCACCAACTCAGCCTGAATACAGTGGAACACATAAAAGAAAACAATGCTAGGCAGCAAATGCAATACAAACAGAACTTCAGATAAATGTGCCTTGTGTAAAAGACTTGTGTGTGGTAAGTGTACAATAAAAGGCAAAAAAGTGATTCACTTGTTTGAATTGTGCCACTTCAGCTAGTTTATAATGGGAATCATATAATTTTAACATTTTTCTTTACGAATATGTACCTTACATAAGTCCAGGGGTAGAGCTTTTGAGTGGATTATTTATTTTTTGTTTAACTTCATAACATTTTGACCACTCATGTGGCCATCATTAGGTAACTGTCGTCTATTGTGTGAAATATTGCAAGACCATTTTGTTCGAATTTAGAAAACGTATAGAGTGCCACCTGTGTTTTGATTTAAATTAGGTTTTAGTTCATGAATAATTAATACTTGTTTTATTTTTCTTCTATTATTGCTACTCTCATTGCATAATGTAAAGTTGCTAATGTTAATTGGATGTTGATTCATTATGCTTTGTTTGTATAATCTAATTAATTAAACATATACTGTTTAGAATAATTTACCTACTAGCTTGTGTTTAACGTTTTGTATGTATATATATAGCTATTTATACCTGCTTACTAACTTGTTTCATTTGATGTTTGTTTTTATTATAATACTTAAGTTACTGAAGTGTGTTTTGCACAATTGTTAATTTTAACAAACTACAAAATAGGAATTTGTAGTTTGAGTAAATAATGTTTACAGTATTTCCAACCTTGTTTCCTTACTTTTTCTACGATCCCTATTTGCAGGTTTTTAAATTCCCAATTTTTTTATTTATCTTGTTTGCTGGGTTTTTTACGCTCAACTATGGGCAAAGGATTATTTGATATGATAGCTAACATTGCAATGATAACAAACATTGCTAGTAGCTAGCTGGTACAGTTCATGATTATTTACTGTAGCTATTGGCTATTTTATCACATTAGTTTGAGATGTAACATGTTAAGCTGCAGCTGGATTGTCATGGAGATTTGTTTAAGAATTTAATAAGCATAATGTAGAGCAATGGGCAAATATATACCTAGTTTAAGACACAACCCCCACTAGTGGATATAAAATTTTACCACTAGAAAAGCAGCCTTCTCAAATAAAACATATATGTTTAATACATCGCTTTAAATAACCTTTTGTGTCTTTTAATTATTCTACGAACGTGTGTAGTAAAATTTAATATCATGTATTGATTTTTTTTTTTACTCCTTCACTTCACACATAATTTAGGGGTTGACTCCTAAAGACACTGACTGTGTAGTGTACAAAGCACTGAGTATCTACATTCACATAATGTTCTTCAGATATTTGTAAAAAAGCTAACTTCAAGGGGTAATGATAACAATGTTTACGCTACAGTTCACAATACAGTGTTACAGCTGTAATTACGTTTGATTTGATGTACCAAAATAAAACTGTTGAGTTTAATCCAATAATTAGTCTTTAATTTTGATAATGACATTGTAATACATAGCAGTCAAAATGACAGCAGTATGGGGGTTCCAGGTATGACTGAAACCCTTGCAGTTCTAGTGTTAAAGGTTAATTATAAAAGGTTAAAATTCTGAAACACAGATAAGCTCTGGTATTCAGCAAAAGCTGTCATCAGAAATGGCATACAGCAAGTATAGTTGAAATGCTAGACTACACTTTTCTCACTGGAAACCCATAATGGGCCTGTAAAGAATGATGAGAGTTTAGTTATGCGAATCTTGTTCTGATGTAATATAAAAAAAATATGGCATGTTCTGCCAAATAAGGTGTTATACATCTGAAGTTTATTGTCTTATGAATGACTGACAAAAAGAAGCATTTGAACTAAAACTTTTTATGTTGTAAATACAAACAACCTGATGAACAGTGGTTACAATAAATAATAGTAGCTTACAATCAGAGCCAGCTATGTACTTAAAGCAAAACTAAAAACCAACCTGGCTATTAGTATAGCTAATTAACTACTTATAAAGATTAGAATGAATTTTTTCATCAGTTGGGTACCCTTGCTGCTAATGACATTTACAGCCATAAACCAAAATAATTTCTCATAAGGTTCAGCCATATTAGGAGATTTAGCTTAGTGCAAACAAATTTTTATAATAAAAGTATAATAATGATCAACAAGTAAAAAATAGAATAAAAGCAATTACATTCGATACAGTAACAAGTATAACCAAAATTATTAATGGAAGGAATGATAAATAAACAAGGTGTAGTTGAAATACTATTATATAATTATCTTACTGAAAACTCCATGTTAGTAAAGAATGATTGTCTTACTAAAATGTAATATCACACACACACATATATATTATTAATAAAAGGTCATTCAGTTCTTACATATGTGCTTCTTACTACTACATTTTAACAATGAAATCAAAATAAATAATATTACTACCTGCTAATAAAGTACCATCAAAGCATCTATTTACGAGCTGAAATTTTTGTGTGCATGTGAAAACTTAGTTAAAATCAAAACATTACCAGGGTCTAATGAAAACAAAAATTAACCCATGACCATAAGATATCAAATTCAATTCCCCCATGTCCACATGCTTATGTGAAAGAAATAAGGAAAATACAATAATTTTTGGGGACAAAATACACATCATTTTAAACTCATTTATCAGTGGATTGTTAACTATATAAAATTTTTGTACATCAAAACAAAACAGTCATTTTTACATTCTCTGAAACTTAGCTTTGAGTTCTCCAGGGATTCACATAATTTTTGGCACCATATGACAGTAATGATATCACAGGTATATTTTTGTGTGAGCATACATACATACATACATACATACCTTGGTTGAGATCAGAATCTTTCAACAATGTCCTGAGATCTTTCAGAAGATGTAAATCTCTTGCTTTTTTGCTGTTTCTCCCACTAAGTAATAAATGTTCACAGTTATTACAAACAAAATACATATATACTTTTTCTATTTAAATGAAAATCATTTTTGTTTACTTAGTTCATGTAGTATATATTTTCTGTAATTGTTTTAAACATTATCAAAGTAAAAACACAAAGGGTTAGAATTAAGGTAATAACAGGTATAGAAAGCTTTGAGATAAAACTCTGAAACCCAGGTAAGCTCTTATATTCAGCAAAAGCTCTCATCAGTAATGGAATACAACAAATATGATTGAAATTATTGAATTCTCTCTACTCCCAATTTAAACAATTCAATTTTATTAGTTAAACTACTTATCATCCCTCAATTTGCTAACATTTGTGGTGAACATATTACCTACTTTGATACAAAGATTTTGATTCCATATATGAAAGAGAATGTATGAACAAAGGTTTTTATCAAAACACATTCAGTTATACATCACAATTAGCTACTTCTACCCTGACACACAGGTACATCAAAAGTACAGCGATTTAGAACATGTGCTGAATAAGAGCTCCTTCTCTCAAACTGAAAGTTTTATTTGAAAGATAAAAGAAAAATAAACCAATCAAATTCATGTACAGGAATTTTGCCTTTAATAACTTTTTCAATAATAAACTATAAGCTAGTCTATCTTTACAATAAAGAAAGATTTTCTCACAAGCCTCTTCAAGTGCTGTTATATTGTAGTAAAGTTGGTATTATCAGTACATAAGTAATGAATTGTAATAAACATTGGTGTATGTAATTGCTATGTATCTTTCTCAATTTATAGATGAGAAATAATAAATGACTCACCTGACACAGAAGCCCTAAATGATTCCTTTGTTTTGCCTTTTTACTTAATTATTGAACAATTTCAAATGTTTTTTTAATAATTTTGCCTGCCTTATTTCCACCACTCTAATTACACAGGCCTGTCTTGAAATTTTTACATGCTCTACAGTAATTCCTGTATGCTGAATCTGAAAATATTATCTATTTTTCTCCATCACGTACAGATTTTTCACAAAACGTCAGAATGTAATACATAAAAGAAAGACTGCAACACGTAGTTTTGAGACTAAAATATGTAATTTCACACAAAAAAATCATTATGAAGGAGGATGCATATTCATTTGACATCAATATTCTTCTCTTTCCTTCAGTTTGTTTGTATTTTTGTTAACATAATAATAAATGTTCATTGTGGTAAATGAAATAATAATTTGATCTAAGTAAGATTTTCTTTCTTCCCAATTTGTAAACAATCCTTACAATGATAGAAAAAAATCAAATTTATTTTCGAAATCTGCATAGCTGAATTATAGAAAATTGATTATTAAAACCAAAACAATGTTTATGAAGTTTAAATTCGCAGGCCTGTGTTATTGTTACACATACTGATTCTGGTACAAGGTTTTCCCTACTTATTTTTTTTTTCATTTGGATTAAATGAAATTAGTCTATAAAGATAAGTGTATTAATATATATATATTTTTGTATAATGTTATGAATTATACACACCTCACTTCAACCTTTAATTTTATCTATTTTTTTCAGTATATTTTATATGTGTATCTTCCAAGGTATTTATTTCTCTATAACATCTCTTTCATACACTGTAATATCATTTTCCATTATGTCATGTATGTAGGTATGTTATTGTTCTATTATTTTCTATGATATATATTTGTAAAGATATCCATGGAAAAAAGAGAGGTCCCAGGAGAGATCCATGATGAGGCATACTAAACAGCCAAGCAGGACACAGGAGTCGAGCCAGGTACAAATGGTCCAATAGGCAAAAGACAGAAAGAAGGGAGATAAGAGAGAAGTACAGCATACTTCCCAAGCAGTTTATTCCAGGGAAGAAAGGATCAATCAGGGAAGAGTAAAAGAAAAGTGTGGTAGAAGAGAGTGAAAGAAGTATCTAAAAGAACAATGTTACTCGTAAGATAGAAGTAGGATAAAACAAGTCAGGAGAGAAAGACAGTAAAAAAGCCAGGAAGTCAACAGATCAAATGGGGCATGTACGAGATCATTCAAAACCTCATTAATGCCTCAGTCAGTCAAGGGAATTTGGCCAGGAGAACTGTTTGTTTGTTTGGAATTTTGCGCAAAGCTACACAAGGGCTATCTGCACTAGCCGTCCCTAATTTAGCAGTGTAAGACTAGAGGGAAGGCAGCTAGTCATCACCACCCACCACCAACTCTTGGGCTACTCTTTTACCAACGAATAGTGGGACTGACTATCACATAATAATGCCCCAATGGCTGAAAGGGCGAGCATGTTTGGTGTGATGGGGATTCGAACCCGCGACCTGCAGATTGTGAGTCGAGCTCCCTAATCACTTGGCCATGCCGGGTCCCTGGAGGACTGAAGAGAACAAAGTAGTGAAACAGAACAGAGGACAGGGGAAGAAACACCTCTTGGTACCAGAAAAGGTAAAAGGCCATGGAAAGGGCCACCCAACAACTAGGATAGACTAAAACTGAGAATCCATCAAAGAACAATCATGCAACAAAGACAAAAATGGTGATACACAGAATTATTGTCAGGAGGAAAAGGGGTTGCAGAAGGACCAATGACAAAAGCCTTGCCACAGAGAGAGAAGCATTGAAGAAAGGAGAGATCTGGTTTGAGAGGCAGTATGGGAATGTAGGAAGTAGTACAGACAGGGTCCAGTCACTATGACAATTCCTTGAGAAGCTCACAAAAAGGGAACAAAGGACCCCAGGAAAGAAAACTTGGGATCTACTGTAGAAGATACATGAGAGCATGTCCCAAAGGAATGAGGAGTTCAAAAGTGAAAGAACCTCTCACACAGGGAGAAAACAAGAAGTGTAAAACTTGGTGAGTAGATATGTCATAGCTCAGGTGAAGAAGATAGCTAAGTTGGTTGAGACAAAAGAGGAAAATGCCCAAAAGTACCCAACACCGTGTGATTTGTGAACAGGATTAGATCTTAAGATTAGTCCCCCTCCAACCAAGTAGCCACCATAAAAGAATGGAGATAGGAGAAGAGGAGACATCCAAGAATGGGTTAACATATAAATAGTCAAAGAAAATGGTCATGAATATGGCAAATGAAAGCCCTCATGATACCAACAGATTCAAGAGGGGCAGATGCTGAGTGGAAAGGAAGAGCAAAGAATGGGAAGATGCAAAAAAGATAGACAGAGAATATAAAGGGAGGACAGGCCAAGAAATGCATACGAAGGTGTCCAACATATCAACCATGGCCAACCAGAGACCAGATGAAAAAGACCATAGATGGGGTCAGAAGGAGAAAAGGAAATGATGAGGAAAAGCAAAGAGGAGTGAGGAAAGAGACTAAGGTGGAGAAAAGGAAAAATGACAGCCAGCAGAAATGGAGACCAACAGCAGAAGAAGAGAAAGTTACCCACAGAAACATATGTGCTTGATAGCCACTGGTAAGAAGAGTGACAAATGAGACTTCTGGAAGAGGGAAGATGGGGGAAAAATATAGAAAAGCCTGGAAAGGAAAGGTAAGATGGAGACTGATCTGGATGAGGAATAGGGGTAAAGAGCAATGTTGAGAAAAAAAAACAAGCTGGAATGATAATGAGGACAGAAGTTATATAACATCTGACCAGGTCGCAAGAAGAAAGAAACACCAATGAGGACTTTGGGTAATGAAAGGGATACAGGAAGAGGAACATAACCTAATAAATCCTGACAGCAGGGGAACAAAGTACAGAGGAATAGAGATGGAAGTATAAAGCCCATTAAGTATGTGGTAATCCAAAACACTTTGAAAAATGGCTGCAATGATCCTAACAGTTAATGAGTCTCTAAGGGCCATAGCAGAAATAAGGCTTAAGTGTGAACATTGTCTCTCACTCAGGACTAAGTATAAATCACTTTCAATTGACAATTCATGATAAAAATTTGAAAGCTTTTGAAACAAAAGTTGAAGAAAACGAAAATCAAAGTTTTGTTGACGAGACAATTCTCAATAAATTGATCACAGACATGAAATTTAAATATGTCTGTGCTCTGCAGCACCAAGGTAAAGAATGAAGATTAAAGAGTGCAAATGCATATGGAGAATTAGTGAATTATATAGTGATATAGAGAATTAGTGCGCATATAGGTGTGTTGCCCTCCTATTGGTGGACGGCTTTTGTCACAAGATAATGCCATCATGCAGCAGCACAATTCACATAACATCATATGATTTTAGGTGGGAGTTGCTTCAAGGCTAGTGGTATACAAATCTCTTTGGCAGATATGCTGAGGAAGATAGCTAATCTGTGTGAGGAGGTGAGTTATCAACTCAGAATTGGAGTTTATTTTCCTTTGCTCTTACATAAATACAGCTTAAGTTTACTTACCAGTTACATACTATTATTTTCTACTTCATTTTTGTGATTTTAACAGTATAATGCAATAGTCTACCCTTCTGTAATTTGTTATTCAGAAAATAAAGTGTTTAATTTTTCTTTGACTTCAACTATTCCACCAACAACAAATCACTATATCTGTCCTTCCACATACTAGGTCCTCGAAACTCTAATTGTGGTGGTAATCAGATAACTCTGTGCTCTGTTTATCTGTGAACTATCGCATTATTACAAAGCATCCTTATTACAAAAAGGTGGACATTTAAGGTTGACTTGTTTTTTAATTGCCTTACCTAAGAGCACAGTGAAATGGGACAGCAAAAGAACAGATGTTCCCATCAGCATCAAGTAAGCAACAGGGATAAATCATGGGTTTACAACTGTGAGCTGTTGCATTGTTCAACCCCATCATAGCGTAATTGGAATATAAAAGTCTGTAAGATACACAGATAATTTATTTTAAACCCAACCAAAAAAATTATAATTCATAGCACATGTATAATTATAAAATGGAGTAGATAAATAAGCTCAAAATTTTTCAAATAACTAATAAAAAGTATTGGAAAACAAGTTCCATAAAACACATAAAAATTACTAAAAGAGTACTAGTTTCTAAATAATAGATTTTATATCAAAAAATTCCATGGACAGATACCAAAATTATAAATGCTTAACTATCCATCAAACACCATCAGGCATGTCAGGTCTGTTAGTTTCAACAAATACAACTTGCTAAAATAATTATATAAATAGTGGTACAATAATCTAACTTTTCCATCTCTCAAAATGAAATTCATTACCTTTTATACACCAAATAAGTACCCAACTAGTAGAACTAAACAGTTAACTCCCTAACAACTACTAGTAAGACACTTTCATAATAATTCAGTCTGCTACATTCCTCTCCTCTCACAAACAAAGCTCACTTCAGGCCTTATCTCAAAGTCACCAAGCAACCACTAATTGGACATTAACCAATTTTTACATATTTCTGAGTCAAACCTCATGTCTTAACTTCAAGGAATGATCCCTAGCTGGGCATAAAATTTTCTCTGGTATTCCAGTTTTTATTTCTAAGACTGTCAAGTTACTTTTGTGATTATCCTTGTCGGATACCAATTTTTCTGTAGTAATCTATATTTTCTGGGCTTGAACACAGTAACTTTTGAATGCCACGCAAGTGTTCCACCAGCTGAACTGAGGGGTTAACCTTTTAGCTACTACTGGAAAGTATTTTGTTTTAAACAATTCAAATTAACACATTCCCCTCTTCTCATACGCAAGGTCTGTCTTTAGGCTTAACCTTAAGATCATAGGATGACCCAAATATTTAATAAACATTCTAGTTTAGATAAATAAAAGTTTTCAATGGACCAAATCTGTGAACTGAGGAAAACAATACCATTTGCATTAGTTTGGTATTAAATAGACCAATGACTTGTGTACAAAGCCCGAGATGACAAATATTGTTTCTTTAATAGATAATATTAAGACCAATAATAATTTTAGTCCCATCCCTCTTTACTGTATAATAGCATTAAAACTACTTTATCTATTATACGATGCTGCCAATGAGGCCTTCTGCTTAAAATCACAGTTCATCAGGAAAGGTAGATTACAACATACAAAGTTTTAGTTGAAGAGCCATTTATTTAAATTATATAAATGGGAAGTGATTCAAAATTTCATCAGTCTTAGACAAAAAAGTGTGCACATGAATTCCACACTTTGCAACTTCTTTATTTAGCAAATATGTTAGCAACACCTTCATCATCTCAGAATTAAGAAACTGAAGACAGTTTTACAATTACTTCACCTTCTTTCAAATATTTGAAAAATACAATCTTACCTTCCAGACTTCCCAACGTTAAAAGCTCCAACACGAGGACCTTGTTGGGAACACCAAATCTGTAAAAAATATTAAAATTCTTTTCTCTTAAAAATTCACTGGTTTAGGGATGTATCAAAGTTGTTTTTTTTTAATGAATGGTGTAAAGTCCTATCTTAAAACTGTGTCTAAAAAATGGTATATAGTCTTAACCTGAGCATGATATATTATCCTACTCTGAAGAACAGTGCATAGTCCCAATTTAAATCTCTTTCTCTGAAGGATTGTGTATAATCCAATCTTATCCTTTTCCATGAAGCATACTACATGCTATCTTAACACTTTCTCAGAAGTTGGTGTATAATCCTATCTTGACTCATTCTCTGAAAGATGTGTACTTCAATCTCAACATTTTCTCTGTAGCATGATGATGTATAATCCAATCTTAAATCTTTCCCTCAATAATAAGGTATAATACCATCAATGTTTCATTGTTTTGAAGTTAAAATACTCAGGAAAAAGATATTTTTCATACTACTTATGTCCAAAATAAGTAAAAATGCAAGTGCTACGACTGTATAAATGATAAGTAACAACATTAAAAAAATCTTTAAAACAGCATCCTCTTTATGAATTCCAAAAAATTAATTTTTTTCTATATATAACTATTTAATTTTAATTACAAAACTTGAAATGCTTAAGTATTCATGTGTACAGATAAGGTTAGAATATAAGCAATATTAATTTTCCATTATCTTTCAAAATCTGTAGTGCATACTGGAGGGATTTACACATTTTGATAAAAAGGTTAGAAAAAAAAGACCTTTATACTCAAGATAATTATAAAAGAGCTTTATATTTTAACCAATGCAAAGGTGAAACATTGATTAAAATAAAATGTTTAATTAGTTAATTCTGCTGAAAAAAACAAGGACACTGGATGACAGTTTTATAAAGATAAGATGGTTTATTTAGTTGTCCAGGCCAAAACTTTCATGATATAAACAAAAAAACAGTTGTAACACGAACAAGAATTAATCTTACTGAAAATGATATTTAAACTTAGTTAGACACAGATAATTCTTCCAAAATGCATGGTTATGCATTACATTAAGTCTTCAACAGTTCTTTATCTTTATGAAAATTATGAGCTAAGAAACACAGAGCCTAAAGAAATGCTAAAGCAATATCAGCCATGTAAAGACCTAGATATAATGGACTAACCTTTATCAATATTGACTGGCACAAAAATATGTGATCCCACTTCAAACAGGTAATGTACATAAATGTGTGCATCAACGTGCCCAAGTATGAAAACATTTGTGGATAAATAAATATTCAGCTTTCTTATGAGAGAAAAACACCTGGTAATTTTGACATATTATAACTACATGAACCAAATAAAATTCAAGTACTCTTGTCAAATACCCAAGTGCATTTTGAAGAACACAATTATAAACATTCGTAAAATAACTGATTTCTATTAATACTGAATGTAACAACTTAGGCTTGTTATTCACTCAAGAAGTTTGAATCTACTGAGGAGTTATTGAGTGTATAGATGAAAATATGCCTGATAGTGGAAGTATCCAAATGATAGGTAATGTTGTTTAACTACTAATTTTTATGAGATGTAATGTCTCACATTTAAATGTAATGTTTTTCCATAACTAAATTTACATTAGTTTTATTCTGTTAACCTTACAGGTCTGTGTGAGACCAAACTGTACACAAGAAGTATTATTTTTCCATATACTACTAAAGCTAAACTTAAGCTTGTTTGGTTCTGAAAATATGCAGTATTATCTATATTTACTAATACAATGATCTAAGGCTTAAAAAAACCTAATTGCATGTACGCATACATAATTTACATCTTGGATAGACAGATGCAGACAGAAAGATAGAAATTTTGACATAATTATGTTAAGAAGTTATCAACAATCAAATATTCATATCGTCAGAATAAAACTATTAAAGTTCCCACCTCTACAATACCTCTTCGTGGAGCATAAATGACAAGAAAATAAGCTCTCTTGGATGTTTGTCCTTCTCTGTGTTCAGGATGGGTACTTTCATCTACAGTTTCTATCCACCCACACTGAGCATCACGGTAACCTGGATGTAAAAACCTTTAAATGAACTTCATCAGTGCCAAGTAATTAACCCACTGACTGCTGATTCACCATATAGGGTGTATGGTCCATCTCCAGCAGTGGAATGCAAATGCACTGTATACAGTGTATGGCTCACAAAAATTACACATTCATTTTTAGCAGCCGTTATAAAGGGGTTAATAAATTGAAGAATGATAGGTAATTTTATGTGATGACTGAAGAGAGGGTGGTAGACAAGTATTTCAAGCACGCACGTTATTTGTTGTTTGTGGTTTATGTATAAAAAGTATTAAATATTTCAAATACTTTAATTATTATAAAGATAAAGTGTTCTTATGCAGTAAGGCATGTAATTATTTTCTTAACCGTTTCTTGTTACAAGCTTCATATAAGGTAATGTGTTGTCCTGTACCATATTTGTTAACTCTTCTTTGTGACTGTATAATAAGTTTGATACAAACTCTTTTGTAGTGGTTTGACATTGTTGCATTTCATTAGACAATGATTTTTCTCAAAAACATGAATAACACTGACAAATATGAGAATATTAGATAATTTCTTGGCAGAAACTGAGTGCGTGTGTAATAGGATGGCTAAGAATAGAATGAGTATTGTATTTGGATAAAAATTGTTAGACTACACAATTGTGTGTTAGGATGATTCAGAATTGAAAAACAGAGTCTTTTGAAGATGTTAAAGAAAGAAAATGAGAAGTAAACTATTATTTTCATGTTCAGATATCATTTTAGTGTATTAGCCTTTATCAGTAACATTAATGGGTGTAGAATTCATTACACCTGATATCCCTGAGACAAATTTTACTATTATACTTTGCCTCTTGAACAAATGTTTTTCACATCATTAATTCTATTTCCATTAAAACACTGTGTAGATTTTTAGGGAGCCACAGAAGTTCCTGAAAATTCTAAACTATGGAAGTCTAAATCATACAAATGAACACTTAAAAATGCATACCTCTAAACTTCAAACCAAAACTATATAAACAAGTTTACTTATTCTTTTAATTCACAAACCTTCAGTCACATACAGTAACAAACATATTTAAATCAGTGAAACAATATTATTACATTACTTTTGTCTACAGTAGGAACCTAGTAAAGTTTATCAGCTAGATATAAGAATATATATAATAAAATTTACAAAAAGCCTTAAACTGTTATACACACACACACACACACATATATACAAGCTATGATGTAAAATCCTAATGACTAAATATTAAAAACCATAAGATACATGAACAAATATATATATATATATATATGGAGAACTTAGATGCAAAATACAGTGTTCTGTGGGATGGAGTGCGGGCAAATAATTTTTATAGTATTTTTGTTCCTTAGAAAAAAAGTTTTTGGGGGACCAAAAACTAATTTACTTAAAAGAAGGGACAAAAATTAAGCCTAATTTGAGTTATGGTCAAGGTAGATTATTTGTTTTAATTCCTTGAAGAAGTTTCTGCAGTTCAATTGTGGAACTCATACAAAATCAGTTGTTTTGATTTTTTTTAACAGTACATCTATTAAAAAAACAATCAAGTTTTTATTTCTTCATAAATCTAGGTGTCACCTATCAATCCAAAAAAATAATCCATTTAAAAATAGAGCTCATAACAAAAGTAATAAGTATAAGATAAAGTTTAATGAAATCACACAGCTAGTTTGAAATTTATTGACAGATAACTGACTTTGGCAAAACACATAAAAAAAGTTAACCAAGAAAGACAAGATTTCTATTTTTTCAAATACTTCCTTTACATGTGTAACTGTAAATAATATCTAAGATTGGTTGACTTTTTACAGAGCACAGTGCCAGTCTAATTCTATGCATGTGTATTTAACCTATTTACATTTCTAACACTATGAATTTGAGGTAAAGACAACAAAACCAGTCATTAGAATATTGTTTCAAGACATTACCTTTCCACATCCTTACTGCTATAGCTTTGAGAATATCAAAAAGAATAACACGACCAAAACCATCCGTAATGGCTGCCATAGTTTTGTTGGGAGATAGTACAATTCGTCCTCCCTGGCGTCTTTTATCATATATTCCATATCTGAAAGTAAGGCATGTGACAAGTTTTTGAACATGATCCCAATATTAGGACAAAAACAAAAAATATTGAAAAATATCTTTTGTGGTGGCTGAAAGGAATCCCTTTAAAAAGCAGTAACATGTAAATGATATTAAAAAAACTAAATTAGATGACAAGTTCATATCTTAGCATTCAAGGCATTAAAAAGCTACATCAAACTATACACTCCTGTAATATAAGTTTTGTATTTATTATATTATAGTTTTATATCATTAATAACAATAAAAAATCATATAAATTTAGGTAACCTCTATCACCAAACAATACAATCACACACAAATATTCGTAGCGTTTCAGGTACAGAGATGATGCCACAACAGTTAGTCAACCCAGTTTTATTGAGGCTTTCTTTTGGCCATTGTTTCTGAAGAGGCATGAAAAAAAAAATAGAAACTTAATTTTCAGCACTAAAAGAAACTATAACAAGATGAAGTTGCCATCACCACAAACAAACTAGTAAGGTGGAGTCTGAATAGTCACCCAGTTGTGATCTCTGATGTGAAACTGTCTTAACAAGTGCTCTCAGCACTATTGTATAGTTAACACCCATAAAATACTTTGAAATTCTTGAATTTGTAGTTAATTTTACATGTTTTACAGAAAATTATGAAAATCAGTATGGTTTCCAAATTTAATAGACATTTTTAAACAGAGAAAACTTTCTCATTTAGTTGAAATAAATACAGATGTGTTCAGGAAAATGTTGCTATATGTTAGCAGTAATTCATGGAGATGCAATCTGACTACTAGGTTTTTAATAAATTCAAAGTTGAGATTGGACAGGTTGTGATAAGTATGCCTTAGCATTTGTTATTATGTTAAAAATACTTTTCATATTTAACATGTGCATTATTATATTTACTTTATTACTTTTTTAAATTAATTTGAATAATAACCATCTGGCTGTAAAATAAGTTAATGATGTGTTAGTTACAGGTGAGAGAGTAATGTAAATTTACTTCACCCCACCCCTAAACGTTTTTTTTTTTACCTCTCTACCATAAATGCTGATATATACATCATTTTGGGCAAAAAAAATCACACTACATATCAATGGATATGATATTAAAAGAAACTGACTTCATAGGTACAGGTGTTGCTGGTTCAATAGATGGATGGTGAGAATCTTCTTGCTGGGTTCGCCCTCTAAACCCAAGTAGTCCACTGAAACATCAAAAATTGGTTGGACATAATAGAACATATCTTAAGTTTAATAATTACAAGTCTCAAAATTACCTTTACATATAAATTACAAACAACAGATTATCATTCCATGTACTGAGGAAAGAAATATTAACTGACTGAACATCATATTCATCTCCTAATTTATCAAATATGAGACTTCTAATAGATGTTCTTATTTTCTTAACTTGTAAGATCTTCATTACTTGTATGCTCTCTTTCAACAATAACAAAGCATATACATGCCAGATAAAGGTAAAATATATACATCTACCAGCTTTGATTTGTATTTTAAATAAGAATGAAATTTCAACAAACCCTGTTAGAAATGTTTTCAACTTGCTTGCAACTGCCATGGCCATTTCAGATAATATAGGTTGAACTGTTCCCTGAAAGGAGAGAATACCTTACCTTGATCTAGAGACATCAAAGTTCTTTAACAGAAGCAAAGAAAAGCTTTAAACTTTTCACAGAACCTATCAATTATTGTGTCCTTAAGATGTAAAATAATTACAAAACTTTTAAAACAATTGCAAAATTCATATGTCATGTTTTTAAAGATCAACTTAACATTCAAACAGAAAAAATTCTTAATAAGATATCAAAATGAATATAAAGCAAGTTAACAAATTATCAACTTTCTCACTAAAGATTACTTGTTGGATGAATGCAGTGCCACCCCTAATTAACATGAGACGTTCTGTTACCTGTTATATTTATATCAAGTGTGTTCCTAAGAAATATGTTAACCATACCTCTGAAGCATAGAAAAAACCAATATATGGTTCTAGACCAACAGTTACTAGAAGAGTTGAGGCTGGAATTATGGATTTAATAGTCCCATGTGGTCCTCGCTGAATTGACTCTCCCACCATCTGGTCAAATGAAGAAGGGGTCACTCCTCCTGAATAAATAACACTTTAAGCAACAATACAGAATACTTCACATAAAATGCAACTAAATATTAATATAAATGTTTATAATTGCATACTAAAAAATCTAAAAACCAATTTCCACACCATGATGCACTTAGAAACAGCTTCTCCAACATGACACACTTAGAACCAGTTTCTCCAACACTGCACACTTAGAAACAGCTTCTCCAACATGACACACTTAGAACCAGTTTCTCCAACATTGCACACTTAGAACCAGTTTCTCCAACACTGCACACTTAGAACCAGCTTCTCCAACACTGCACACTTAGAACCAGTTTCTCTAACATTGCACACTTAGGAACAGTTTCTCCAACATGGTACACTCAGGTACAGTTTCTCCAACATTGCACACTTAGAACCAGTTTCTCCAACACTGCACACTTAGAACCAGTTTCTCCAACACTGCACACTTAGGAACAGTTTCTCCAACATGGTACACTCAGGTACAGTTTCTCCAACATGGTACACTCAGGTACAGTTTCTCCAATTCTATACACTTAGGAACAGTTTCTACAACATGGTACACTCAGGAACAGTTTCTCCAACACTACACACTTAGGAACAGTTTCTCCAACACTACACACTTAGGAACAGTTTCTCCAACACTGCACACTTAGGTACAGTTTCTCCAACACTGCATACCTAGGAAAAGTTTCTACAACATGGTACACTCAGGTACAGTTTCTCCAACATGGTACACTCAGGTACAGTTTCTCCAACATGGTACACTCAGGTACAGTTTCTCCAACACTGCACACTTAGGTACAGTTTCTCCAACATGACACAGTTAGAAACAGTTTTGACACCATAACACACCTAGAAACAGTTCTGACACCATAATACACCTAGAAACAGTTTTGACACAATAACAAACTTAGGAACAGTTTCTCCAACATGGCACAGTTAAAAACAGTTTTTACACAACAATAAGCTTACAAACAGTTTCTTCAACAGTTAGGAACGGTTTTGACACAACAACAAGCTTACGAACAGTTTTAACACCATGACACACTAAGGAATAGTTTATTCAACAGTTAGGAACAGTTTTGACACCATGACACACTGAGGAATAGTTTATTCAACAGTTAGGAACAGTTTTGACACCATGACACACTAAGGAATAGTTTATTCAACAGTTAGGAACAGTTTTGACACCATGACACACTGAGGAATAATTTCTCCACCATATTACACTTGTAAACATTTTTCCAACATGGCATTAATATAATTTATTAAAATATCTTATCATGTCATCAAATAACATGAGTAACATGATGCAGGGGCTTGCTAACCTAAGAATAAACCACAAAATAAGAATTAATTACTAAATTAAAGAGTATATCTTATATAGAGGAAGTATCACATCTTTTAAAAAGTCACACATGAGATCTGAGACAACTCACCAACATGTTCACAATCTGAGAGTTCCTTTTGATCTTGGAAGCCCCATTTCTTATAGGTTAGAGGTGGTGGATCCACTGTTTCCCACTTGCCAGCTGTAGCTACACAAATCAGTAAGAAGTTGAAAATAATTAACTTAAAAACTTTGAAAAGGTTATTTTTCAGTTTAAAATAATGTATTATTACAAAAAAAATGAAAAATCTGTCACCAGACTTTCACTGCTGATTGCTAAATACATAAAAAATCTAGAACTAGAATCTATCATCCAAGTTCTTAGCAATTTTTACCATCACCAATGTTTTTGAGATCACCTGGGGTTTCCCACAACATTTGCATTTCAATATTACAAAAATTATTTTGTATTTGTTATGACTTTTAAAAATGAGATTTTTAGGTCTTTAACATATACAATTTGTGAAACAAACATGCAGATATTATATATATTCTTATCAAAAAATTCTGTGGGTATTGTGATCTTGTATGTTTGATGTGCTCTTTTAGGAGACATATATATGCATATGTAAATTGAAAAATGTTTTAGCGATCAGCCATTAGATACATTTTTACCCTAACTGAAGAGTGTCTTTCTTGTTGTACCCTTAGTCATGATTTAATGTTTTAATACAAAGTTAATTAATAACACATAATGTAATTTGGTGAAAAAATATAGATGAGTTTACATAATTCACTTCGGTCATAGATGAATTTTGTATTTTGATTTCTTTTCTTCTTGTTGCCATGTTGAAAGAACTACTGGCTTGGATTATGTTTCCTTTTGGTATTATATGCTGTTACTAGTTGAGGTTACTTACAATTATGTAATTCATTATTAGTGTTTTCTACCAAGAACTGAAATTCAAAATTAATTGAATGCCATATTATCACTAAATAATCAAGTGACAGAACCCTAGGGTTCAGGTTTAGCCACCTTTAATTTTGAAATACTGATCAGATAGAGGGCAGCCAGCTAATAGCACTCACAGCCAAAAAGCTTTGCCTGGCTCTTTGAACTGAATATTGTAATTGGCTGTTACAGATGAAAATGTGGAGCAAGTTCAGTTACATTACATCACAAACTCTAGACCTTTTGATCCACAGCTTAACTCGCTAACTATGAGGTCATGCCCAACCCACTAACAAGAATATATGTCAAAAGTGTTAGGGACCATAATCTAAACTAAGGAACCAGGTTTACTAAAATTTCCTTTAAGCTACAATGGTTTGAAAGCTAATATTTTCCAACAATGAAAATGCATTTCCAATAGACACTCACCTCCTAGTTCAGTGCTGCCCTCTATATGGGAACTTTTTTCATTCACCACTAGCCTTGTGGATCCCACCTAAACTCATGTGTTTCCACATGATATTGTTACATGTAAATGAGAGCGCAACACACACTTCTAATGCAGCTGACTCCCTCTATACTGATTGTTCAATTATCACTTTGAGATTATTCAAGAAAATAAGATGCACTAGAAGTGAGGAAAATGAGTAGGAAGTGTGAGCAGGAGTATCTATCAGAAAGACATTTTCAGTGTTGGAAAATTATATGACATGTAACCTCCATTACCTCAGCTAGAATCCCACACTGAAGTGGTGAAGGGGCAACTGCAAACATTTATCTAGACAAACCCTCTTCAGAAAGTGCCTGAAGGGAACCTATGAAGTGTGACATCCTATACCATGGAATAGTACAGGGGCACACCCATGGGAGACAGCACCTCATCTGTACCAGGGTACACTTTTTGCCTGGAAAGGAAGGGAAATGTTGCAAGGATGGGCAGAATATACAATCACAGTCCAGAACTTGTATCAGGCTTCCAGAAGTGCTATATATGTATGTGGCTAGGGTGCATCAGACTGTATATGGTGGGTCAAGACTATGTGGCATCAGGATTTTGGCTTCTAGGCCACAATAGTTCCTACCACCTTCACATCAAGCCCAGTGAGGCAGAAGGGAATGTACTATCTGAACTGAACTGAATGAGGACTTATGTTGGCTGGTCCTACACCAATTGGTCACACTCAGAAAGCAGCCTCCAAGGCTAAGAACTGGTAAGTGGCAAGGACTCCCATGGTCCACTAGAAAAAAAAGGAAGTTGAAAGCATGTTGGGGAGCCCAGAGAAGTGCATCACCATGACCACAAAAACCCTATTTTTCAAAGCAGGTCAGCACTAGGTGGTAAACTAGGATTGGAAGATGGGCAGTGAGTGGGTATGGCCTGAATCAGCCCTTGCTTAAGATAATGAGCACCACAAGTATACCTCAAGTGATCTTGTGGAATGACCTATCTCATGGGAGGTGAACATCAGGCCGTGATGACATGACACTGTGCAGATTTTGTATAAATATACCTTGGCAGACAACACTTGCCACTGAGCAGGATCCCATAAGGTTTGAGAGGGTCCTGTAAAGATAAGATAAAAAAGAAAGAGAACTTACCCAGTCAGAAATGGTATGAGGTGTGGAGAATAGCAACTGGAGGTAATCTATAGCATGATGAAGAAGAAACACCCATATGATGTAGACAGTGTTTGACAAAGGTGAGAGAGATTATCTACATGCCAGCCTGAACAATCTCCTCTAAAGCATGGTGGAAGTGAGCAGTCAAAGAATGAATAAGGTGATGAACTTGATAGAAGGACACCTGGAAGCACCAACATGCATCCCCATCCAATGAAGAATATGCTAAACAGGTGAGCTGATACAGTCAATCCAGTAAGGGTAATAGGAGAAAGATCACATGTGGAAAAAGGTTTTTCAAGGAATGAAGAAATAAGATCGGGAACCATGAAAGGGAGAATTGCTGGTCAAATAAAAAAACATAGAGTTGATGAACAGGATTGATATGAGAATAAAGATAAGATATAGAAAAAGAGACATAAGTGTGAACAAACTGTCACCTCCACATGTCGCAGATGTTTTAGGGAGGAAAGTGCAATCAGGATAGAGAAGGATATAGGAGCAATGAAAGAGAATGCTCGAAGAATTAATGGCATACTTGTCAGAACATCAATGATCAGAAACAAAAAGGAGGAGGAAATAGGTTTCAAAGGATAGATGGTATATGGAACAGGAAGCCAAAGGTTCAAAAGAAGGAAGAATAAGGGCATGGATAACAACATTAAGGTTCCAGTCAGGAAGGCTAGAAGGACAGGGAGAATGAAGGAGGCAAAAGGAATGGAAGAACACAGTAAGGACCGGCAAGGAAAAAAAAAACCTGTCAGTAATTGGAAAACCAGTAGGTAGTAGAGAGAGTTGCTTGGTAACCAGAAATAGTTAAGACCAATAATCCCTAGTCAAAGAGCCATGTGGAGAATTCAGAGAGATGGGAAACAGAAATTCAAGAAAGGAAGAAATAATGATGCAATGACAAACTGCAAAAAATACAAGGAGAGGGCACAAGTGAATGAAATGGGAAATAAGAAAGGCTAATTGCAAAGAGAGTCTTCAATGTCTTGCAAGGGACTGGACAAATCCTACACATGAAGCTGGAAGGATGACATGGCCAGATGGAAGAGAGAAGTGGAAGGCTAAAGAAAAAAATATCAAAGGAGGAAGAGGAGAGGAAGTGTTCAGAAGACACAACAGAGGAAACCACATTTGAGCCAGCCAAGAGGGCACCATAAAAAGGACTCAACAATGAGTGTCCCAAATGAAAACGGAGGAAGAGATGAATAAAGGGCAAGCATAAAGGAAGAGGGTTCGACCAGTCCTGTCTGAATGCATCCACTGCTAGAGCCAATGGATGTGGAACAAGAGACAAGAAAAGGAAAAGCTTGGCCTTGTTGTAAGTGGTAAAGGCATTAATAAGAGGGGTGTCCAGAAGAGAGCAAAGCCACTGAAAAACATGAAGACTGCAGAGCACTTCATGGGAAATATCTTGTCAGTCCTTGAGAGATGAGCTGCAACAAGATTTAGGGCACCAGGATCATGACAAGCCACAAGTGGGACTTACAGAAAATGGTCCAGAAGAAGAGATCAAGGGTTTGGAAAGAGAGAGAATAAGTGCCTCCCCCCCCCACCCCGGCAATTGATGTAGGTTACCACAGTTGACTTGTTTGTATGGATCATTACCAAAGGGTCTCAAGAGTTTCAAGAGATTAATATGAAAGATCAATTCCTCTGGGGTATTGACACAAATCTCTAAGGAGTTGAGACATGTGCCCCATCTAGTCAGGGAAGCATCTGTAAGAAATGAAGATTCCAACAAGAGGGACAAAGAGAAACACTCTTTGTAGCATTGATTCTATTGAGTCACTAGGTGAAATTTGTCTGTAGGAAAGAAAGAAGATGGATTAGGAAGGACAATGGATCCCAAGAAAGGTTACATTGATCATGCAGAGTCCATTGCAAAAGACACATGAGCATTTCCTAAGGAAATAAAGGGCTCTATGGAAGCCCAAGTCTCCAAAAGAGAGAGAACCTCCCCACACAGGAAAAGAAGAATAGATAGAGCTGTGGAAAGCAAACTCTCCATGACCTCAAATGAAAGGAAAAGGCTTAGCCCTGCTTTGATGGGAATTGAAGAACACACACAAGTGAACCAGATATTGAGTGGGTGTAAGATGAGACTTTTCCAACTCGACTAACCAACCAAAATAAACAACCTTCTGAAGGAGGAGAAGAGTATAGTTTTACGAGTCCTGTCGAGATAGAGTTAAAAAAAGCCAGTCATCTGTGAATGTGATGGGCAAAAGCACACACTACTCAGCAAAATATGTATGGGACTGAAGCAAGGACAAAAAGGAGAGTTCGTAACTGAGAAACCTGACCTCCACGAGCCAACCAAGGGTAAAGTCTGGATGCAGAGGTGATGGGAATGTGAAATTAAGCATCAAAGATGTCCCTTTGGTCATTTAAAGCCCCAGAGCAAAAAACCTCCGGAGGGTGAGAAAACAATTGAAACATGAAAAATCTATGGCCAAATGCAAATCCTCAGTTTTATTGGGAACAACAAACAGATGGGAATAAAATCCTGGAAAAGGATGAGAAACCCATTCAATAGCATCCTTGGCCAACAGATCTGATATTGCCTTCTGGGAATGCTGGCGAGATACAGCATACCATGGAGAAGGGAAAGGAACTGGAACAGGAGATAAGAGAGGAAGAGAATTAAAATGAAAGGTAAGGCCTTATGATAGAACTTGCAGCAATGGTCAGCTGCAAATGAAAGCCAAAGATCTACAAACTGAGTTCAATGAGCCACTACTGTCCCCAAGCCTAGAGGATAGTCACCACCGAGACTGTTGGTGCTGAAGTCTACAAACAGTGGTAGCACAGAGGGAGGAGGAGCAGGAGGGAGGGGGAAAAAGAAAGAAGAGGATGCAAAGGACTGGATAAATTGATGGGAAACAAGTAATGACAAGGAGGAAGGGAGCCAGACAAAGTTCCCTGAGATGGAATGGAGGCAAATGCACCTGAGCAAGAAGGGCATCTCTCCCTAACAAATCCCAGCAACATATTAACCAAGAAAGAAGGTACAAGGTTGAGGAAGAAGTACATACCAATGTAAGGAACATAATGGAACAAGCATTCACCAAAACCCTTCAGTGAAACAGCGAATTGCCTCAAAAAGAAGGTACATGGAGGAAAGATAATGCAAAAGTGTATTGAAGGTAAGAGGAAGACATGAAAATTGGGCCTGAGAAAGTCAAGCAGAAGACAGATGATTTGAACCATAAGCCTGAAGAAGAGACTCCAGAGTTTGGGAATCCAAGAAAGGGCCACCAGCCCAATGATAAGCCAAGGCATATGTGTCAACCAGGCAAGGAGGTTGAGGCATGCTGGCATCAGAGTGAAGTTGAGATAAAAACTGTTCTGCATGGACCTGAATATCTGGAGAAGAAAGAAAAACATAACAGTCAGAAGAAGAGAAGCTAAAGAATCATATGAAACAGAAGAGAGAGATAGAAGATAACATGTCTGAGAAACCATGTCCATTAAAGAAGAGGAAGGCATAGAGAGCTCCAAGACAACACTGGTAGAAGTGTTGGCAGTTGGAAAAGACTGCCAAAATCCTCATTGTCATGAACTTGATTCATAAGAGGAAGTATATTTTTATTAAGCTCAGAAGAAAGAATGTCCAGGCCACATGAGAGACACTATCTCCCATCACACAGTAATCATCACTTCCTTGACAGACAAAGAGGAATCCTATGACAAGGTAGTTGTTTGTCCAGCATGAACAACTTCTTGTTGTCTCACATCAGTCAAAGTAGAAGTTACCATAACTTGTGAATTCATAATGTGGAAAAGGCCACAAAATCTGCAGTCGCAGAAATTTTTGGAAAAATAAATTTCAAATTAAACTTTCTTCAACAATGTAGATACTCCTGTGACAAAAAAGCTTGTGAGCCAAAAAAAAAAAAGACGTATTCATGTCTGAATACATGAGTGCCAAATCTTGAAGTGATGACTGAACAATCAGTACAGAGAGTCAGCTTCACTCGGAGAAGCCAAAAACAGACTAGGCTCTTAATTTACTTAGAGATTTTTTTTTTTACTTTACAAAGAAAATCTCAAATGCAATATCAAAACCATCTTTTTTATTTACCTCTTGCAAGCTGATTTCGACAAGCTCTTAAAGTCTGGAACAAGCTAAAGCCTTCTACGCTGACTACAGCAGATGAATAGACTATAACCAAGTCATCTAGCTGTGAAAAAAATATCAAACTCTTTAAGCTCCTTTAACTTATCCACAGGAGAATATGTCATTTAACTAGCAAAATGAAAATACTGTTTCACATTTTGTACTTTGAAAAGAACAAACAACTGTTATCGAACACAATAATATAATAGCAATGATTCAGGAATAAAATTAACATCATAGCAAAAATATTAAAAGAACATAACAGTTATCATACACTTCTAAGTTTACCATATAAATAGAGAAAAATTATTGTTTTATTACCACTATAGTAACTACACATGTAAGCAACATTTTACTGGTTTTAAAGTTATCTACTAGTTCTCTCAAAGATATCCCTACTAGTCAATTCATATTATAACACACATACAAGCATCAGCATCTAACCTGTTCTGTAAATTCTCTGTAACGAGATGGGCTATAGGTCTGGAATTTTAATTGTCTTACAGGTTCTTCATGTAATAACTGTGATAGCAGAAGTTCAGCTTTCTGGTAAAAAAATTAAGACAACATATATGTGTATATATATATAAATGAGTATGTGTGTGTGCATTACTGTTAGAAGTTAACCTTATAAAATTATCTTAAGCAAATACATTACTAACTAATATAAATAGTTTGTCACATTGTTCAATAAAATTTATTTTTCTACAACACTAATACTGAAAATTTAAATGCATTAAATTTGTAACTAAACTGTTTCCACTTTTAAACAGATTTTCAAACCAGACATAATATTTTCTTCAATATTCCTAAACTTTTAAGAGTACACTCAAAGTACACTGATAACTAACGTTTTAAGTTTCAACTGTTAGAGCTACATGTATCACAATCAAACATGTGTACCAGATTTTTTCAGACACAGTTATGAAGCTTTTAATAAACTTGACACTTCTTGATCCTTTCCACATCAGACATCTTTGTACGATAGCTCTTACACAACAGACATAAATAAATATTAATGTGTGAACACTGATATCAACTCCAAAAGATTCTGATGAGAAATCACTTCATTACTTTGAAGCACAGTCCACTGCAACAATGTCTTTGTTCTTAATGGTAGACAAAGAAAGAACAACAATAAAAATCCTACAAATCAAGAACTAAAACTGGCTGCTTCATGACTTCATTGATATGACACTAATATTTGTTTTTTAATTAAGTTACAAAACATTTGAAAGCAAGTGATGACATAACAGTGATAGTGCATGATAATGTGAAACAGGCCATAGTAGGAGTTAAAAAAGTATTAAAATTACTCTTTTCAGTTAAAACTTTTGGATTATGGTTTACTACATATAGGTGTCTAAACCTACCTCTGTATACATTCTCAAATAACCTGAACTAAATCCTATGATGATACAGGTCCAGTCTGGTTCTCCCTGGGCACTTCTACATGTAAAAATTGGGAGTTAGGATCTGATAAACACTGTAGTATTAACAAGGTGCCAACTGTCAGTTAATATTTGGTAAATACTGCAATAAAACCAATATCAAAAGGTACCAACCTCACTGAAATAACATTGAATATTTCATAAAAATTTAAAACTAACATTTTCTTAGGCAAGACACAAAACAGAACTAATGATTAACTTTACAAGCAGGCTGTGTACAATAGCAAATAATAAACATTACATAACAACTACATCATAAAGAATTTTTTGAAATATTGAAAGACAAGGTTTAGAAGTAAAATCAAAAATGATATGAATACAAATAAACAAAAAGAAATATTACCTGAATATCAAACTAAGTATACTAATCTCAATCAAACATTGAAAGGAAAGACAAATTGGATAAACATAAACCTATGTCAAGGAAAATTTTTGTTCCTGAAATTTCCTTATTAACTGTCCCTGAAATAAAAATATTCAAATCATTTGACTTACTTTAAATTTTATCTTCAGTATTAAAAGGGTAAAATTTAAAGTACTTGTAAATATAAATAATTATTGCACTCAAATGATCAATGTTTTTTAAGTACACATTTTAAAAAAACTTTATACTAAGACCATCATCAGTCTCAAAACAGACACACTATGATTCAAAATGCAATTACATCATCCTCAAAGTGTAAATTCAAAAACAGTGCAAACAATATGTATATATATACAAAAGCCATTAGTTATGTGACTACTTAATTTACATACTGAACTTAATATGACTTTTGTGTGTGTTTCCATACATATATATATATATATATATAGTTTGCACTGTTTTTTGATTTTACACTCATGATTGCACAGCAAAACAGGTAGTGTGTCTGTTTGGAGACCATAGCAATCTCAGAATAGTTTTTAAAATCACCGATTGTTTAAAAGTTTTCATTATTTCTATTTTATCTATATTTAAAATTCTAGCACAAAACCTTAATCATGCTTATTACACCAGATAATTTAGTAATGTTGTGGGTTTATTTGGCAAAAATCCTTAAGTTCTTTAGGAAAGAATCTTAATGTTCCCAAGATTTAAATGGCTGTGAATTTTGTGAAAAAAAAAGAAAAATTTGTTATTTTTATCCTTCATTATAGACAAACTCTTTTAACCAGTAGAATTGTGGAGCTAATATATATTAAAAAGCATTACAAGTGTCATACTTTTTAAATTGATAAAGAAACTTATGGTACACAAATGAGAAAAAATTTTGTATCCTTAAGAACATATATTTTTCTACTATAAAAATTATAGAAAAACAGCATCTTTGACAAAGTTTTTAAGATTGCATATTATTTTATTCATACAACTGTTTTATTCCTGATTCACTCTCAAATAAAATAATACTAATATTTAGTATAATAGAAATTTTATTTTAATACTATTTATCAATATTATACAACAAGGGGTTTAATCTTACTTAATTTTAGCACCATCCATTCAACAAGCTGTAACATACAAGTTATTCTGAAATTCCTCTTAAGTGGTTTTTAAGTCAAATTTTATTAGTAACAGATGAGTGCCATTCAGTAATGCATACATTTTTAATATTAATAAATTAAAAACAAACAAACAAGATTTATTTCAGGGCAAAAAAAAAACTAGTTGTACATAACTTGGCTTAGCTTATTAGTAAACCTTTATCATTTAGCTAGGCCTACATTTGAATATTACTATAAATTGTTTTGAAATAGAAACTACAAACCTTTTCTGTGATGCCAGAGGTAGACACAAGATTGCAGTAATTTCTTCCCTGTACCAAAATAGGTTTTATTATATTTTAGTTACAAAGTACTCAGCATTCATAGTTCACAAAATATGATTATCTAGAAATTACATAAAAATATGTCTACTGCAAAAGTAATAAAATACACTTCAGATGAAAGTTGTTATATACATATATTTAGAGTGATATATGCATAATTTTTTGTGAAGAGCTTTAATTCAAATGTGATGGATTAGAACCAGAATATTCAACACATTGGGAATAAAGCCATTAAATATAACTCCAATAAAACACTTTGAAACAAGTCACAGCTATCATATACATACACCTGGGCTTTACTTATAACATTTTCAATCAATTTTATTTATAGACACTATTAAAATTATTCAATATCCATGTATTTAGTTGTTTAAAACTAGCCAAGAAAAAGTTAAAATACACTACTTTTTAGTTGTTAAGTGCTTTGTATTTGACTGTGCTCTATGATTACTCATTTTTCTAATGTTTAAATTCATATATTTATTGCCTTTTTTTTTCTTCTTCTCTCACAAAAGGCCATTATTGGACAGTGAGTTGATATTTTTAATATTTTTACTGAACAAAGGCTACAACAACGAAAAATAATACTTAGCTTGGCTAAGTTGAATAAATCAATCTATTTATTGTTAAACAAACTAAAGGTGTCACAATAATGTTTCCTTCAACGTTGTCTATGTTAAATGTTGCATAATTGAAACAATTAGAATTTCAATACAGGCATAAGTTAGTCAAAGCTTACTATTACATTTTTACTTATGGGTCATTCCATGTCAAATCACCAAGCAAAAAATCATTTTGACACCCAACATCAGAATTGGCCAATTTTTTAAACTGATGTAGGCTTTGGTTATAGAGTCATAAGCCAAACCATTAACTACATCAAGAAGGAGATACATGGTAAGGTTAAGACAGTGCACTATTTTAGTGATGGTTGTGTGGGGCAATATAAAAACTGCAAAAATTTCATTAATTTATGCCTTCATCAGAGTGATTTTTGGAATAGATTGTATTTGGAACTTTTTGGCCACATCACATGGTAAATTACCTTGTGGTGGTCTTGGAGGAACAATTAAATGCTTAACTGCAAGGGCCAGTCTTCAAAGACCTTTATCAAACCAAATCTTGTCAGCAAGAGAAGTGTGAGCTTTGCAGAAATTAAATTAAAGGGGTAATAAATAACATTCTTTATTTCACAAGATGAGATGACTGAGGTGCAGGAATATCTGAAAGAAAGATTTGAGCAAAGTAACGCATTGCCTGGAACTTGAAGTTTCCACCAATTTATACCATTATCAAATAGCATCATTGGTGCAAAGTGTCTCTTCTGATGAGGAGTTTACACTTATATTTGACCTGATTTTAGGAAAAAGCATTGACCAAATTCCTTCTAAAGAGATAAAACAATCAACTTTGTTCTTTGCAATTATGATGAGAAGTACTGGGTTGGACTTGTTGATGAAGTTGATATTGAAAATAGGGATATTCTTGTAAAATTCATGCATCTGAATTATCCAGCCAGATCCTATTTGTAGCCAAGGATAAAGGATACTTGTATTGTACAGGAAACACATATTCTTTGCACAATAAATGCACCTGTCACAGCAACTGGTCATCAATACCAGTTGCATAAGATTGATATAAAAAAGATTGATGAGTTTCTGAAAAAACATGAGATTACTGACCAAATTTAAAGATGCTCAGACACTTAAGTCCAATAACTTGTTGGTTAGACCATTAAAACTGACTTTAGAACTTCATCAATCTCCTGTACCTTATGTAGATAATATTCAGTTTTATTATAGAACTAACCTCAATATAGTTTTAAGCACTCTTTAAATTGAACAGCAATTATCAATATATCATGCGAAATAGAATTTAGGCATATCTGCTTTATAATTTAGTCAATTTTCAGAGGACTATTACTTTAGAACAAGGAAAAAAAAATCTCACATTCTTAATATAATAAACTAAATGGTTTGAAGAGTATTTGCTCCAAAGTTGGTGTTGATAAGTTTGTCAAACTATGGAATGCAATAATTTCAAAAAGAGGGCATGAACCCTTTCTTAACTCTTAAAATTCTATAGTAGGGGGGGTTAAAAGGGTAACTGTGGGGATTGTTTTAAGATAAGTAAAATCTGTTTCCATATTTGGATTCCTTATACTTGAATTAGGGGAGGGAAAATCTTGGTCCAATTTCAATAAAATTGGGTAAAATTATGAAAATAATTACAATGGCATAGGGTATTTGTGAAAATCCAAAATGGCTATGATGAGCAATTTTTGACCAAATTTCTATTTCTGGAAGGAAAAATAATTTTGCAAAACAAAATTGCAGGTATACTTACCCATACATAGGTACAATCAGTTAAAAAATTGGCCAATTCTGAAAAGTTGGGAGTCCTGCCCTCAATGATTTGACATGGAATGACCCATATGACAATAACAGATAATTTAAATGATCAAACCAAAGACACAAATCAGAAATTAATTAATTACCCATCTGCATGAGCTAACATCTCCCCCTCAGACAAATAGAATTTCATTTTGAGTTCACTTTCTTCATTGAAATCCCATTTTCCTGGTAAAAACAAACATAATTACTAAATGTTCAAAGCTTTTAAAACATTTATGTCTATATTTTTTATGAAAATAACATTTTCATACCTCTATTTTATTTACATTTTTATGACAGTTATGGAACTAAAACATTAACATTTTCCTCACCTGAAAATGTATTTCTGATAGATACTCACCTCTTTACAAACACAAAAAAGTTATCTTCTTTAGCTCTACCATGCATTATGCCATAGAGATTTGCAGTTCACCAGCCTTGTGCAAACTACTGTCGAACTACATGAATTTCTGTTACTGCATGATTATATTATCATTCATCAGAATATTCCACCAACAGTGGTGCAACACACTTCTATGCAGAATGATTCCCCTATATTTTGCACTTGTGAGTCTTCCTTTTTCAACAAGGTAGTGAAGAAAAGTGCACTGGAAAGTGTGGAAGATGGTTGGGAATGTGTATGATGGTGAATATCTATCTGAAATACATTTTCAGGAAAGGAAAATGTTAACTTCTAAAAAGAGCACTGTATGGAAACAGGCCTCTTGCTTGCTGTGGGAGTAGGGTATGTGAGTGACACATCACTGGTGTATACGGTGTGTTCACCTCAACTCTACCATCAGTCTCTACAGGCCTCTTGCCAGCTGTGAGTGGAGGGCACTGCATTATGTGAAAAAATATAGATACATATAGACCCCCAAATTGACTGTTAGTCTATATAAGCCCCATATCAGCTGCAGGAGTAGGGTATGTTGTTATTTTTCAGTATGATGTGGAACGTACCAGTAAATGAACGTTCACCTCAACTCTACTGCTCAGACTTTGGCTGCAGGAGGAGGATTTGTAAGATAAAGATATATAAAGGATTGGTATAGTGAGTAGTGAGGGGCTTGGAACTGGTAAGTGGCAATGGTATCCCATACTTCACTCAATTGGGGGGGGGGGGAGAATTTGTTTATGAAAGAACTAGAGAATGTACCCGGATCTTCTTCAGTCCAGAAAGATCTTTTACTAGAAACAGTGAGTTGCAATTGGTGATCGCAAAACCCTATTTTTTGAAAGTTGGCAAGACTAACCAGAGAAGTGGACAGAAACACTGTTTTGGTGCTGGCTTTGTCCATTATAGTCCATGGAGTGGGTATTGTCTGAATCAGACATAACATATAATATATATATATATATATATATAAGTATATAGATATTACAAGGAAACCTCAAGTGGTCTTTTGGAATGCCTCATCTCAAAGTGAGCACCTGTAGAAGCAAAGCAGATGGTATGAATACTTCCCATAATCCTGGCTCAATGCAAATTTTCAATAAATATTCACTAAACATAAAAGGTCCTGGAACAGGAGCCACTAGGTTGGTTAGAGCAAGGAAAGGTTGTGGAAAGGATTTAATGGAACATGACCAAGTAAACCACCCGTAGGAGCAGGAATGGAAACATGCCCAACAATGAGAAAAAAGGTCAGGCACATTGATGGAGAGTAGACACTAGTCCAATGTAAAAACATCAGAACATCTGCCCCCATAAAAAGGGTGAGATCTGGTAAGGAGTGCAGGAAATAGGACAGATATAGTCCAGTCACCATGACAATTCCTAGAGGGGAGGCTCACAAAAAGAGGACTAAGGACCCCAAGAAAGAAAACACTGGGTCAATAAGGTCTACTATAGGAGATACATGAGGACATGCCCCAAGTAAAGGAGATGTCCTAGAAAAGCCAGAGTCCTCAAAAAGGAAAGAATCTCTCTTGCAAGAAGTGTAAAACCTGGTGACCAGATGAGTCATATGTCACAAGTGAAGAAGATAGGCTGAAGCTGGTTGAGAAGAAAGAAGAAAATGTCCAAAAGTACCCAACACTGATTGGTTTGAGAAAGGGCAGGATCAGTGTAAGGATGTGAGTATTTGTTTCAGAAGTGATTGATTTGTCCATGTTAAAATAACCAACTTTAAATACAATTTTCTCAGAAACCATTAAATATAGAAACTATGGTTTTTAAGCTTTTTAAACATCTTTTTACATTTTTTGTGCCATGAAAAATATGTTCTATATCAAATTCTTGCCCACTGAAAATTATATTAATCTAACTTTAAAAATATCCTTTTTCAGATAAGGAAGAGTTCTCAGATTTATTCTGAAATTAATTTTTTCCTTCAAAATAACAGTGAATTTTATTTTTTTTTTCAGAAAATGTTAGAACACTGTTTCAAGTATGTGTATTAATCTTAAAGTGGATCATTCTTATATACTAAAAATTTTATCCTACATAACTTTTGTTCCTATTTCGTGCCCTTTACAAGAGATCAAATGAAACAGAGTATAATGTTTTTAATAACTGAAAGTCTGAAACAAATATTCTTAGTCGAATAAATTATCCCACACTCAAATTACGTTTTAGTATTATAGTAAAATTAAAATTAATTACCTTTACCCAAAGATTAAAAGCTACAGTTTCCTATATGAAAATGTATTTCCAATAGGTACTTCCATCTTCTCACAAGATAAACTTTTCTTGTTTTGTGCTGCCCTCTGTATGTGAACTTTCCCAGAAATGCATGCCACAAGCCTTCATCATTCCTCTGTTCAAATCCAAAGTTCCAACATGTCTCTCATGTAAATCATTATGCGTCACCTCTCTACCAATAGGAGAACACTATTATCACGTGACGAATGTGACTCCCTCTATGCGCCACTACCAAACTATCACTTCATAGTTTGACAGAAGGTGCAAGCACCAGAAGATTGTGGGGAGGATGGATGAGAAGTGTGAGTAGAAGGAAGTACCTATCGGAAATACATTTTCATTTGGGAAAATTATACCTTCCGATAAGGTACCCTCCATCAACTCGCAAGATTAGCTTGAATCCCACACTGAAATTAAGGAAGGACTGGTGCGAGGACACCTGCAAAATGAGTGGAATAGATCAGATTATCTGAGGAGAGGGCACCGCACAACATCTGAGCCACGTAACTCTTCACCAGGAACATGAAGGAAGCACATCTGCATGGGAGAGGATAGTTTAGCAATGTGATCTTAAACAAAAATTAGAATCATTCAATCCCATGATGGAAAGTGGGCAAGTGTGAATGTGTTCTGTGGTGTAGAGTGGTTAGGGCACGACAGACCATACTAGGTAGGTCAACTACATCCAAAACCTCACTCACTGAGTACCGACATCCTCGTGAGGGTAGAATGAAAATCATACCATCTTCACCTCAAGTCCCAGAGTCAGGAGGGAACCTAACACTTGACCCCAGGAACTCACAGGGTAGCCTAATGCCAGGGATCTGAGAATGTGTCATTCAGAATCCAAGGGAAGTCTATTGCGTGCATTCAACCCTCGCAACCGTGAAACCAGCCCGAAACAACCTTGTCACCATACAAGGGAAAACCCAGGAAAGAAGCATAAAAAGGCCACGTAGACCTTCTGCAACCCACAGAAGACAAGTCATAGGGGAAGATGGACAACCAGAAGTCTGTGTGAGGACTTATGTGATTGGTTCACTTGATCTACAAAATTACACTCACTAGGTACCAACATCCACGCAAGGGTAGAAGGAGGGCACCAAATCAGAGGGGTGAACTGCATTTGGGCATCTCAACTATGGGAAGTAGTTACTCATCTGAAGGATCTTGTAACTCCCTCCAAACTAGCAGAACACCACTGCCCTAATCTGAACTGAATGGTTATAGCCATCTGTGTGGAACCCATCCAGCAGGTTGCCTCCATGGTCAACCACCCCAGCAGCTTGTAAGTGGTAAGGACTCCTGTACTCCACTGGAAGAAAGGGGAAAAAAGTGTGTTGGAGAGTCCAGAGGGACTGCAACATCCGAGACAGTGCAATGGGTGATCACAAAACCTTATTTTTAAAAGTAGACCACACCAATTTATTCAATCTAGGCATTGCAAAGATGGGCAGCAATCCCCCTTCTGCTTTACCCATGCCATCCATGGGTGGTATGGTCTGGGATGGGCATATTATGATGCAATTATCACGAGGAATTTACACACTAGTGATCTTGTGAAACTCCCCATCTCAAGGGTGAGCATACATAGCCATGGAAAATGTATAAAAATCAACAGAGTGGATTTGATAGCAAGATGTCTGCAAATGGTTATAGCCATCTAAATGGAACCCATTCCGAGTACAGACAGAATACCTGGTCAGGCACCACTCGCCACAGAGTGGAATCCAAAGTGAAGCTGAAGCAGGGGTCCCTGAAAGAAAAGAAAGCATTTGCAAGGACTTACCTCGTGTCACAGCTGCATCAAAATCTGTAGAATAGCCATAGGCAGCAGGCAAAACCCTGAGAAAGCAGAAACAGTGATGTGATGTAGGTAGTGAGAGATGGGCATGTGCTGAGTCATCCACATGGCCGATGAAGACGAGAGGCAAGGAAGAAGGTAAGGTGAATTGATTTGATGTAGGAAATGTGAAAGAGATCATGCTAGGAAGGAGACAAGGAGGAATAGGCCAACTGGATCAAATGTTGAACCCATTTGGTCAGGATAACTGGGAAAAGATCATGGGAAGAAGAAGGTCGCTAATGAATAAAAGGCAGGAACAAGGACCCCCAGAAGGAAGCCATGCAAGCAATATAACAATGGAGAGCACAGACAGGACAAAGGAGTCTATCTGGATCAGGATGAGGGTAAAGATGAGATATAGAAGACAGGTAGATAGGGGAAAAGGAGGACTGACATTCTCGAGCCGCATAGGTCTTAGAAAGGAATGTACAATCCAGATAAAGGATTGGTACAAAGTCCTGGTAATGTCGAGGGCCAAAATATCCAACCTATGATGCCCGCAGGCCAGAAGGAAGAAGAAAATACACCTTCAAAGAGAGGTGAAACAGGTAACACGTAGACAGTGGTTTGAACAGAGGTAAAATGAGGGCATGAAGGACTATGTTAATGTCCCAGTCTTGGAGCGACAGACGCCTTGGTGGTTGATGGAGCCAGAAGGAACGGATCAAGATGGAAAGGACAGGGGAAACAAAGCCCCTGTAGAAACAGGAAAAACAGAAGATATGGGATAACGGCACCAGAAACCCGAAATTGCAGAGACCGAAGAACCCCTCTCAAAGAGCCACATGAGAAACTCAGAAATATAGGCAACCTTTAAGTGAGAAGCCCGGAAACCCCAAGTCAATGCCCAGAAGTGATAAATTTTCCACTTGCATTGATAGACGGCTAAAGAAAAAGGGCAAATGGAATGGGCCAAATGTGAAGCTACTCTGCAAGAGAAACTGGAACTCCTTGCCAAAGACCTGACAAAAGCCAGGCATGAAGACAGAGGATGGACAGTGCGGGATGGAGTGCTGGTGACTGGGGTTGACAGAGCAGGTCAGGAAGGAAGGGAAGAAAAAGGGGAGGGACCACCTGTAATTGGAGCAACCAAGGGAACCAAAGTTGAGTGGGCCAGTAAGGACCAATCAAAAGGACCTTGCACAGAGTGGCATGGATGAGAGAGACCATCTGTTGAAGTAAACAGATGGTATAGTAAACATAAGAGAACAGATGAGACCAATCCTGGCTGAAGTGACAGTAAAGGCTGAGGGATCAGGAACATAGGACCAAAACAAAGGTAATTTGTGATTGAGAGCAGTGGCAAAAGCATCGATATGGGGCATACCCAGATGCAGACAGAGCCACCAAAAAATGGCAGGATGCAAGAACCACTCCGTGGAATAAATGCCATCTGGTCAGGAAAGACAATCATCTATGAGATTGACAGCACTCGGTACATGATATATCATCAAACAAATTCGATGTATGGGGGCTCAATAGAGAAGATCCATAGTGCAAAAACATAGGAATCTGGACCTGGTGCCACCTTGGTGATTGATATAATCCACCACAGTAGAATTGTTGGAATGGATCATAACCAGCCAGTGGCTGACAAGAGAAAGAAAATTATCCAAAACCTGACTAACAACCAGGAGTTTGAGAACACTGATGTGAAGAGAACTCTCCTCCACAGACCAACTCAAAACCTCCTGATTATCCACCCAGGCACCCCAGCCCTGAAGGGATGCATCCGTGAACAGATGTAAATGTGTATGTGAAAGAGGAAGTGGGACTCCCATCGACATGTGGGCCCTGTTCAACCACCAATGGAGATCATCTACAATGGACATAAAAGTATCCAAGGGATCACAGGCGAAGTTCCATTGACAGTGAAGGACCCACTGAAGAAACCGCATATGGGCTTTATGTTTCTTAAACTACCTACATTTGTCAAAGTAATTATGAATTTTCGAAGATATTCGTCCACTAGTTTTATTGTTGGAATGAAATATAGCAAGACTTGCATTGCCTACTAAGAAAGTTAGTAGCAAGGTAGTCATCGGGTTAAGATAGCTAACCACTGGTAATTTCAAGCCTTGTCTCCACCACAATTATTTGTTATTCTCCAGCACATTTGCTAATAATCATTGGTTTCTCTATTTTTTACACCTAGCTTATAATCAATGAACTGAATGTTCTATAATCTTTATTCATATTGCACCTTGATGTTTTTAAACATTTGACTTCTTTTCTCTATTGGAAGGATTCTAGCCCAATAATACTTCTCCTACCTGAATCCACTGCATATTGTGATGGAAAAGAAGGTCAAAGAAGCTTTGACCTTCACTGATTGGTAAAGTAAGTATGATGAAAGTTTGCATTAAGTTTCAGTAAGATGAGCTTAATCAAAAAATGGGGATCACAGTTAAAAAATAATCATAACAGAACAAACAATAAGTCTAAAATACTGATGAATAGAAGACCAAGAAGGTACAAATCTCTATAAAGAACTGAGTGTCACAACAGCTCCATAATCTGATGGTTATGAAAAAAAAAATAGCGTAAGGGAGCTGAAGTAGTCTCTTAAAAATATGAAAATGGAATCAAGACACTATTTTAGGATTATATGATGCAACTGTTGAATGATATTTATATGAAATTTACAGAATTTTCAATCATGATGCTGTCACCAAAGGTATCAAATATAAATTACAGTTGTAAAATAATTTATCTACAAAAGATTATGGGAATGTTTGGTTTATCTTAATAAAAATCTGCCAAACCTATAAAACTGCATACTTAAGCATGAAAAATCACTTTCAAGTAAATGAAAAAACAAACACAAGAGGGTGTAGCAGTGACATCAAAGTTGACAAAAATTTTTATTAGTTGTCATGATTAAAACTTGGAGTTAGGTACTTATCTATTTTGAGGGAAATGTCTATATCAAGTCAAATAGTGTGTACCAGGCATACTTCACAAACTAAAAACATTAACTATAGTTAACGTCCATCCAATTCGAGGATATAACTGAAAAAAGAATGAAAACTGGTTGCACCCACCTCAAAAGTATCCAGAAAAATCATATGGATCAGCTAAATATTTAGTAAAAGGAAAACCAAATCCACAGAGAAAGTGAACACAACACAAAAGCAATTTAACACACTCAAGTTACAACAGAACACGTAACCAGTTGGGGTTCATCAAGTTTCAAATGAAATTAGTTAGAGTAAGAACTATGCAACATATAACTAATTATGATTTTCTTAAAGTCCTTTTGGTAAAGGGTATAAGCAAGATGTTTGAACACTTCAGGTTATTATATAAATGAGTACTACAATGAGTGTAAGTCACTAGTTATAAGAAAGAGAAAGAAAGCAACAAAATAGGAAAGCCTAGTTCTTCACAAGAACAAAGAGAATAGCAGTTATGACATAATCAACATATCTCATTTGAATTTAAGATTTATTAAAATTTAAATATACATATATAACTGAAAAATTCCATGTTTTCAGTTAGTCATTTTAACAACAGATATCTAAATAAATTACTTATTAAGCAAGGCATCAGCTGGTTATTATATGTATGCATATACACAATATGGTTTAGTGTCGTGGTAAAGTACATTTTAATGCATTGTCAAATTAATTTGAGGTACAATTAGCTTACGTGTTAAGAAAGCAGCATACTGATTGGCTGCTAATACTAAGAGGTCAGCACCAGGAGACATCCCAACCACACACTGCTGCAGCCATGCTTGATCTTCTGTACTTCTATTTTCTTGATCTGTACCTTCTTCTTCTGCATCCCCCCATTCCCAGGTATTTTTCCATTCATCATCATCTGAAATATGTCACACAATTGACTGAAAAACATTTTATCTCATACAATTATTCTTTCTAAACTTATACATAGATTAAAGATTATTTATTACAAACATACAACTTGTTTATGCTTTTCTATGTACATGGCTTTTAAAATTAAGGGTACCCAAATACAGATTTCTTTTTAATGTAGTACTATTACATAACGGAGTTTCACATTGATTCTTAATGTGAAAAAAAAAATTGTACATTTAATAAAACAGCATATTCTAGACTTAATTCTTTAATAATACTTTCTAAGCTCACCATAAAAGTTTGCAAAAGTTCAACTTCTGAGTATTAAAAATGCTCAAACTATTTTGAAACAATAACAATTCCAGCCAAGTATCTGAACAGAAATAACTCCCCAAATGCACATTTCTAACAGATTATCTAATAATTTCTTATCCAATTACTGCACTTAACATCTTTGCATGACACATTTTCTCAAAGTTTCAATTTCAGAAGTGTCACATCCTTAATACAAATGCTAGCCTAACCGTTATTTACTTCATTCACACATAGGATTACCAAATATCCCAGTAAAAACTTGGATTGGCTCAAATTCAGCCTTTTTTTATCTGATAAAGACAAATCACATGGTACAGTGCCTAAGTCCAAAGTTAAGCCTAGCATAATATACAAACAAAGCAGTAAGTAAGAAAGGTATAGAATGCATTCTATAAGAAATAATATTTTTTTCTGAAACCAGTCTGGATTTGTGGTTCCATATTTCTAACGTTTTCTATTACATAACATAAAAAGATCTTCCACTTACACATTATCCAAGCCTCTTATAACAATTATAAATAACTCAATAAAATCACCTTATATGTATTTCCTTCATGCTACAGATGGAAAAAAAAAAAAATTTTTCTAACCTCAAATTTCTTATAAAAATATCATTCTAGCAGCCTGCCTCTACATTTTCTATCCTTCCTGTAATATACATATGAGGCCTTACCAAGGCCTGTACAAAAACAATCATACTTAAATGAAAAATATAAATAAATATGTCTCAAATTTGTATTTGTTCTTTTCACCAAAGTTAAACCTGCAGTAGAAGGCTTCAAGCTTTTATCAAGATACACATCAGATCTTTCTCTTTTTTTTTAACAATGCCAATGCTCCTCCATCATTAAAAATAAATCATTTCTGAATCTCTATATCCAAAGGACATAGCTTTCCACCTCAATACTGAAACTAATTTTACAGGTTCTCGTCTGGTCATAAGACTTTCCAGGTCCTTTTGAATAAGATAAACCTTTTCAACAGTATTAGGCCTTTTGAGTATTTTAGTATCATTATCAAATTCAGAATTATCGTCACGATATGTAGGTCCCAAAATGAGCCCATGAAGGACTTATTTTATTTTTTTAATAAAACAAATGTCAAATTTATCATTATCATAATCCTTTGGTTTCCACCACAAACCTATTTTCTATTTTCTTTTTTAACTTTTCCTCCATTTGCATAAGCATCAAACTTATCTATTTTGCAAAACCTTGTTAAAAGTCAAGATAGAAAAGATCAATCAATTCTGAATTCATGATAATAAACAGACGTGAGTGCCTTCATCAAAAGTAGCAATGTGGGTGTCATTATCAAATTAAACACATTTCTACTGAACCCTCTTAAAAAATTAATAACATACTTTAATCTGTTTACATATTGCAGGTCTGCCTGCAATAAAACTTTTATATTTTATTTTATTCTCAAACATGGAGACTATCAGTCTTTCTCAAACTTAACAATAGCTCTCTTACATCATTTTTTTTATTTTTATACACGAAGAATCTTTTATTTTTCTGGATATAAACAACTTCTTGGTCTACACTTTGATACAAACATTTTTTTCTAGAAAACATGCATCTTTACATCCAGTAATCCAAGTACTTTAATATATGATCGTATTCAACATATCACTGATTAGAAAGTTTGCAAGATTTCTTACAAATTATTTGCATATTGCAAAAAAACAATAAACTAAATTCAAACAAAATATGAACAAAGATCTACTTGTAAATGGATCAAGTTTACTTATTTCATATTAATCTTCACTGATTAAGAAATTCAACATCTATTGCACAAGCATAAATCTGAAGACTTATATATGAATTTAACTGGCATTTCCTATTTAGTAATATGCTTATTTAAATTCAGATTACTACAATGATCCCACACTTGAAATACCATGTATAGCTTTGGTCTCCTTATATACAAAGTTAAAAAAAGGAAAGAGTTATCTTTTAAGTTAAGATTGAACTTATTCTCTCTTGATAAAAGAACAACATTAACAGATGATCTTGTCAATGCTTAAAAGATTAACTGGACAATAAATAAAATAAAAGTATCTTATTTCTCTGTGTTGTATTCTGAAGGTAAAAGGATGAGAGGATAATTAGTTTAAAACAGAATAAGTTCCAGATTAAACTGATTTTTTTCAACAGGGTATCTGGCTTACAAAACAAATTACTGTCAGCAGTGGCGAAGGCCATAATGATAAACAAGTCTAATACTAAAAGGGGAATTGAAGATTTCCATAAAATAACAGACGGATTTAAATTTCTACTTTTTCTTGGGTGGTTGTGCAAGGAGAGCCTTAAAACTAAGTTAAATTTGACCAATTGGTTCTATGTTTGTAGTGTATAACATTATAAACATCAAATTTCAGTTCCACACGTATTATGTTAATATTTAATAATACTAATAGTCATATGTCTTTGTACAACTTTAACTGAATATACAAGTAAAACGACTTATGCATTAAATAAAATTACATATGTGAAGCCTACCTAATGTCGAAGTTTTTTCACTTGGACCACCTAGTCCAAGATTTAAAACCCTTTTAACAGCCCTCAAATCATTTATCGCCAGTAACTTTTCAAGTTTACAGGACATCTAAATTTAATTTATGTATATTTGACCTTTGTATAACAGTAGATCCTGTAATTAGGTGCTTACTTTAATCTATAGACACTGTTTGCTTGATAAATTTCATACTATTAATAATAAATATATAATAACATTAACACTCAATCTCATGAAACTTCCCACATCACTGAGAAAAAGTAAATAGATGGCGTTGTAGCATTTGCAAAAATACAGTGAATTCTTAGATGCGCTCCTACAAAATCATTATTACAAAATAAAAAATCCCCTTCTCAAAATGTACATAAGAGACGCACAAAAAATAATAATAAATTATACTGTGATAGTGTAGACTATACTACTTTCTGGAATTAGCTTTACGAGAAAAACTTCTATAACTTAGCTACTTTCGTTTCTTTTTCTTTATATATGGAATGGGCATGGCGCAGTGGATAGCGTTTCGGGCTGCACGCCCTGCAATGGCACAACGGTATATCTTCGGACTTCCAACGCTAGACACCGGTGTTTGATACCCATGTTGGGCAGACCACAGATAGCCCATTATGTAGCTTTACACTTAATTACAAACCTAATCGGGCTGCAAATAGAGGGTCAAATATTCATGGCATGACACTGCTGAATATGCTCGGAATGTATTGTTGTTGTTGTTCAAAGCTAGACAATGGGCTATCTGTGCAATACCCACCGCGGGTATCGAATCCCATTTTTTAGCGTTATAAGCCCTCAGACTTACCGCTGAGACACCTGTTTCTTTGTTTGTTTGTTGTAGTGCAAAACTATACAATAGGTTATTTGTGTTCTCTCTACCACAGGGAATCGAATCCCGAATTTTAGTGTTGTAACTCTATAAACTTACTGCTGACTTACTAAGGTATACCAAGTTTGCAGTTTTAGTTAATTCCTCAGTTTAATTCAAAGAGTTGGACACAACCCTTGTGGTGTCATGTGCCACTGTGTCTGTCTGGAGTAATTCAAAACTAGGTTCAGCTATTTCTGAATCCTAGGAGTCTATGACCTTATCCTTTAGCCCATATGCATATAAGACGCTATTTAGGTTAAAACTTCCTTTCTTCACAGAAGAATGGAATATATCACATGTAATCCATATTGTCTACACTTCTCGGTCTATTTGCAACGGTAATATTTGCTGTTAATAATTACTAATAATTATATGATTTCTATTACTATAGCCACGCTAACCATACGATATAAAAGCAAAAATAAACTTATTTCTCCAACTTAATGGTGATTGATCAAGCAACTGGAAACAAAAGCACTGACTAATTAATCACTAGCTGGAATAAAAACGCTGTACTCTAGGACTGATTCATTCTACTGAATAGAAACAATTCTATTTCAATTCTTCACTGCCCCTCGTATTTATAATCTACGTTTTGAATATACTAGAACATCTGACGTCAACATTTTAGAACTTTATAAGCTTACATTATTAATTTTTTCGATCTTAACATTATGCCCTCTAGCTAAAATCTAAATTAAAATATTAAAATTTAACTCATAACAGTCTCCCTTCTTAGATTGTGAAGTCCCTTAAAAAATCCTAAAATAAAACACTATACTAAACTGTTATTTTTCTTTAATCCAATGAGCATTTCTTGAAAGTCGTTTGTTAATTTCCGGTATAAATTCTTCTTGAGAAACTTCAGCGATAAAAGTCCTTCCTTAAATAAAACTAGTTTATTATTTCTCAATACAACTTTGCAATACACAGAAATTCCACAGTCACTTTAACTTCAACACGCTATAATTCACAACGATTCATGCACTTTACTTGCGGTCATTGCCGCTCACTTGACTCAATTATCTGTCTCTATATCTCTCTATCTGCTATTATATCTCCGCTTTATTTGCGGGGCTTATATACAAAAAGAGGGCGCCTGTAAAAGACTAAAGTTGCCAGGAAAAGTCAAGATCCTTCGAGAATCTCATGACGTTTTACCAGCGTCACGTGACTTCCGCTGTCGTATCACTGCTCCTTTCTTAGTATTGTTCATTCCGAACAATAGCCACTTATATTAAACCAATAAACAATTAACAATAACTTAATTAAATGTACAGAATTTACAAACACAAAATTAAAATTCAACAAAGTCTCTTAATGTTACGGGACGTATCTTTTTCCGTATTGGTCTCCATCTCGTTGGCTTCTGCTTCATGTGAGGTTCATCTGCTTCATCAGGAAACGTCCTATCATTGATAACAGTCACATCAGTGGTAGTAACTTCATCAAGGGCTTCACCGTTACCCTTCTCAAAACCGAGTCGAGTTTCTTCTTCGACAGT